AAACACATACTCGGTGTGAAGGTGACCTATCATGACATTGAGGCGGTGGATCCTGATTACTACAAAAATTTGAAGTGGCTATTAGAGGTTTGAGGACCTAGCATTTATTTACCTTATCTACTACAAATCTCAAAAATTGAAGTCAGATCCTGCTTTTTGAGACTTATATTTGTCCCTTTTTTCTGTTCATTCAGAATGATGTGAGCGACATACTTGACCTCACATTTAGTATGGACGCAGATGAGGAAAAACATATTCTTTACGAAAAGACTGAGGTATGTGCTGCTGGAGTTTTATTTTTTGTGTGCGCTTAATCCCAAAGTGCCTACTGTATCGAATTGATCTTGTTATCTTTGATGTAAAGGTGACGGACTATGAGCTTAAACCCGGAGGACGAAACATACGGGTAACAGAAGAAACAAAACATGAATATGTTGACCTTGTGGCCGGCCACATACTTACCAATGCGATTCGGCCTCAAATCAATGCCTTCCTCGAGGGCTTTAATGAACTGATACCTCGTGAACTTGTATCGATTTTCAACGATAAAGAGCTTGAGCTCCTAATCAGTGGGTTGCCTGAGATTGACTGTAAGTTGGAGTCTATTGTTATTGTTCAATATTGTTATATCTACTTATTTGCTTATGCAATCAAGTATTATGACACTCTTTATTTTGTCGTTTTTTTAGTTGATGATCTAAAAACCAATACCGAGTATACCAGCTACACGGCAGGATCCCCAGTTATTCATTGGTTTTGGGAAGTTGTAAAAGCTTTTAGCAAAGAAGACATGGCTAGATTTCTTCAATTTGTCACTGGAACATCAAAGGTAAACCATCCTGGTTGGTTGATGAGCTCGATCTCCTTCCTCTCTTCCCCCTTTAGAAACGTCACAAAATCATAAAAAGAGAAAAATTGTTTTTGTTTTACAAGCGGTGTTTCTGTCTTCAGGTTCCTTTGGAGGGCTTCAAGGCACTACATGGTATTTCTGGCCCTCAAAGACTACAAATCCACAAAGCATATGGAGCTCCAGAGCGGCTGCCATCAGCTCATACATGGTTAGAAATCATTACAAAACTTTTTTTAATTAATTGATTATTAGTTTTCGACCTGATGATTCTCATTTCGAGTGTTTGCCAAATTCATTCTGTTGCAGTTTTAACCAACTAGACCTCCCCGAATATCAATCTAAGGAACAACTGCAGGAACGCCTGCTACTTGCCATTCATGAAGCGAGTGAAGGTTTTGGGTTTGCTTGAACGAAAGGCCTTATCGAAACCATCACCTTCAGAATCAGCGAAAAAGACCCATCAATCCTTCATTCTTTTGACTCCTCTGTACATGTAAATACGCTTCACCCCTTGTACATTTTGTAGATTTACCATATATTGCTAGATTTTGAACAAAACAAATAATCTTAAGATTTCACTTGGTTCTGTGGCAGATCTCGAAGATTTTCAGACAGGATAAAGGAGAAAGAGCTTTTGATTAAGACCGCAGAAATGAATAGAAAACTCAAGGGGCTAATTTTTTATCTGTCCATATATGTTAGTATTCTTAGTCTTTTATTGGTAGGTTTTCTCGCTCTCTCCTTTAGATTTTGTAAAATAAAATCCTTTTAAAAATAGTTGCAAACTACCCGAATATTAGTCGTTAGTAGTTGATGATATAATATTGATGTAGCAAAAATAAGATGAGTAGCTACTGCTCATTACTCTTAGACTCTTTTTGTTCCCTACACAAACGCCAAACAAGTGCAGGCAGATACAGCTAAAACAACTGATTTAACTGTCACGTTCATTGGCATTTTTCCTTTGTCTTTCCTCAGCAACATACCTTCATACAAAGGCCAGTTTATGACAACAAGTATTCCTGTTATCACAAATTGAAAACCCATTGTCTTTAAATCTCCACCATCTCCAGAAGCTAATCTCATAACCGCTGCGGCCATGCAGAAGAGATTTAGCATAGCGAGTGTTCCGAGGAGGAGAAACATTGGAGACTCCACTCCAAACTCCATTGCCTCATCCTTGTATCTCTCTGCTGCCTCTTCTTCTGCTACTTTCGCTGTTATCACAAACGCTGACTCCGAAACCCCAACTAGCTTCATGATAGTGTCCTTGAATCCGAAAAGAAACGAGCTTGTTCTTCTATAAAGCCACATCCTTTGCTCGTTCCACCATCCACGGAAGGTCCCTTCGCACCACAAGAATTCAGCTAAGCTATAGGCATTAGCTGCCACAGTGACGTATCCAAACGGGATAAACCACCAGCTCGAGACCTGGATTCAATACCAATTCGGTTTTACTCTGAGATTCCTAGTTTATACGAAAACAAAAAATAGAGGAAATCTTTCTTTTTACCTTTGGGAACAGAGGAATGCCTTTGAAGAGGCAGAGAGAAGTCAAAACAGAGTAAATAAGCACAGGTACTGAAGATGGAGCCCAAAGGCAATAGCAACAGTAACCAAGTATCAGTCCTAAACTGATCTTTCCTCTTCCATACCAGACTGGACTATACTCTGAAAGTAGAATCTGAAAGTCTCCCTCGGACCATCTCCTCTGCTGCACAAGCATTTGATGCAAATTGGTCGGCGCTACCCCTAAAAATGCTTTCTTGTTCGGGTTCAAGAACGCTGATTTCCATCCGCGACACTGAATCGCCAAACCAGTAATTACATCCTCTACCGGACAACCATATTTCACACCCATCTGCCACGGAAAGGGATAGTGAACGTTTAACTTGAGTAAAAGAAAAGGTCAGGAGTAAGTAAGTATTAATCACTGCCTTACCTCCTTTCCCCATTGAGTGTTTTCCTCATAAGTGCAGCTCGCGAGATCCTTAATCATCTCAGGCTCTATCATTTCTTGAATTTTATCAGATTCTTCTTCTTCTTCTCCATACTTTCTACCACAGATCACATCTCTTCTGTGAAAGCAGCCAGTTCCAATGTATAACGGACCACCATTTCCGTCCAATCCAAGAAACTCCACCTGATAATTGTTTTTTGTTAGTTTCCACATCCCAAAACATAAGAGTTAATTAAAAGGAGAAGTGATATTTCACGAATCTATGTGGTTTCTCTCCTTATAGCTTACATTCACTCCTACTCGCATCAAGCTTCCATACAAATCGTTCCTTGTAACGTTGTCAAACCACTGCGGAAACTGCACGAAAGCAATCTCTTTTCCCTCTTTCTCATCGAGCAGAATGCAGAGCGCATCGCGTGCTGAATTTGAGTTGTTTGCGTACATATCACAGTCCAAGTTAAGTATGATTTTCCCACAAGTTATCTTGGAAGAAACTCTCAGCTGTAAGAGAAATACAGTAAAAAAATAGGAAGTCACATTAAGAGATCAGAATTAACTTATGAAGCAAGAAACCATTACCAATGCGTTCATTGCTCCAGCCTTGAAGTTATGATGATGTTGAGGTCTCTTCTCTCTCGATAAATACACCAGCGTTGGTATTGCTATTGTATCCTCTTCTCTTCCGTCTACCAAAATCTGACATGTAACAAAACCAAAAAAAAACATAATTCAGTTTTACTTTTATCGATCGTTGTAATAACTGAAAGGCCATTAATATTATACTTACTTGAAGAATGGTTCCATGGTTTCTTCGAGTAGCGTCAGCATCCCACTGTGAAAATCCGTCACCGTACTTCAACCTTGCCTCCTCCGGTACTCGTCCGAGTCTTGACGCCGTTTCAATCCTGGCCGCCATTTCTCTATACAGCTCAACCACCTCTTCAGCCGCAGGATCAAAAAGACCATTTCCCTTGGAAGACAAGTAAGCTGCCGGAGATGTCGGCTCAACCTTGAACCTTTTGCAGAACGGAACCCAAGTTTTGGCAAACTCAGCCGCCTCTGTGAGAGCATAGAACGTCAGCTCTGAGCCACCGTCATCTGAGAGATACACGGCGAGTTTCTCCGGTGGATAATCGAGAGCCGTCACAGATAAGACTGTGTTGACCACCAACAACGGCGGCTCGATCACCGGATCCGCCGTGCAAACGAAAACGTCAAGCCTCGGGAGATTGTTTCCATATCTCCGGGAGAGTCTATCGGAGAAGGTGAATCGCCAAACCGGATTCCACCGGGAAGATTGTGTGACCACCCAATACAAACCGAACCAAATCTCCGCAATCAACATAACCAACCAGATCGATCGATCTAAACCGGTCCGGTTTTCATCAGTCTCTACCGGTACGGTCACTCTATAGAACCAAATCAAACAGATACACAGAGAAACCGAGACTGAGAAAATCCGGTATGCAATCACTCTTCCGGTTTTCCTCCTGGTCTCAGAAAGCGGTTCACCTTCGCCTTTATGAACCGGTCCAAACCGGTTATTATCTTCTTTCCCCATATCTATCTGAAGCGGCCAACAAGTGTGAATGAAAAGATGAGAGATGTGTGTATCAGACAAGTGGAAAGGTTGAGGCTTTATATAAGAACCAAACTTGTGGAGGCTGTAAGTTTGGGACATTGTCAAAAAAGTGTGGATCTCGAGACAGTCGCTTACGTCAGTGGAGCTGTCAGCTACAATGTTTCTATTACAGTCAAATAATGGCAGGTAGCGTCAAGGTTTATCTATCTTTGAGACTAAAGTTAAGTGTATATAATAATGTTATCAACAGCCAAAAAGACTGCTAAAGCAAATGGTTGGTAATGATATATCAAAGAGTAGCCAAGTTTATTTTGGTTTCTTATCTATCGTGAAAGAGTATTATTGAATCAAAACCAGTGTTGCTGAGTGATATCTTTGGCTTCACAACTGAGATTAAAGGGTCTGCAACAAATGCTGATATTAAAGGACAAATGCACTAACATAATTCGGAATAAAGTACATTTGGCCGCCCAAGTGCTGGTGGAGTCTTTCGTTGGAGAAAGAATCAAGAAGAATGCAGATTTGCAATATGGTTTATGTGAACAAGAAACTGTTTAAAGAGGTAAGAGACAAGAAATGAAGAAGCCTCTTTATTTGCAAACAGGATATAAATAAATAGAAATGAGTACTATATATATATTTATCAGATCAGAAGATCCATCCGAGGAAGTTGTGTTTCATCTTTTTAAAAACAAAACCTGCATCCAGCTGATGCAAGCAAATCTAGTAATACAAGTAAAGGTGATTCTTTTCTTAAATACTGCTCATCAACCAGAGACAAATTCCGGTTTTCGATCATCTTTTATGGGCAACTCGTGTTATAAGGCCGAGAGCAATCAGATCTTCTTCTGGTCATTCCCAAGCTTCTGAAACTCATTTTCTAAGGTATCGAAGATCTTGTTGCCTTCGCAGTCTGGCTCAGGGAACATTACGTGGACTGAACCATGTCTTATCGGTGCACCTGTCCCTTTAACCAGAGCCTGTTGCTTGACATACTCGTAAAGTTCTTGGTGGAAAGAGTTATCCAAAGAGAAACAGTTGTCCGATGTTCCGTTTGAGATATGCCTACCAGAACCAGACCCTTCTCTTCTGCAGAAATGTGGGAGAGACTCATAGTCCATTATCTGCATATCAAAAGGTTAAAAACTTTCAGTCTTCTTGCACAAGATTGACACTTCTTCCTCCTTGGGAAAATGAATTGCTTACCTTTAGCAACTCATCTTTCCCGCAGCCTTTCAGCACTTGAATCTTCTTCTTTGTTCTCTCTTGCAACAGAGGCTTTATGGTTTTCCAACAAGCAGAAAATATGTACGGGACATTGACAATATAATATGTCTCAGTCTTCTCTGGATAGTTTAAATCATCTATTGTGGTTATAGCAGTCATCAACTGCAGAAAGATAAGGAAAACAACAAAAACATGTGGTTAAAAAGAGAACCAAAGTTATATAAATCACAGTAAATGCAATAGTACACTGTTAATACCTTAATTTGACTTAAAGCAGAAAGCTTTAAACCAGACATATCCAAAATTTTCAAACAAGTGCAGATTGGTCGTCCCTGTTTCTTTGAGGCAGATGGCTACAGACAAAAAAAATACACAATCAAGATTCGATTAAAAAAGACAAGCATATGTACAAGAGTATGGAAGAAAAATTTATTTGGTCTTACCAATATTACACGATCACGGTACTCATTCATTTGAATATGAGACTGTACATAGTAATGGACCTGAATGAAGAAAGGGGAATAAGAAAGGCTACAGTTAGAGTTTCAACTTCGTATCAAGTCTCTGAGTGGAAGATGATAGAGATGCTTACTGAGGCTTTGTCATATGTGCTAAGCCCCACACCAATGGCAATGACAGGGAGACCCTAAAAGTCAAATGATTTAACAAATTTTGTTTTAGTTGGATGAAACATGCTTTTAAATTTCAGAAAGTTAAAGAAAGAAAGGGACTCAAAATAGTAGTACCTCTTTGGAGTAACCAGATACACCGACAAGTTGTGTGTCTCTGACTGCTCTGTACAGGTCAACAGGAACAATGGGTTTCTGCACAAAAAAAAATCAATGATCAGATGAGAGCTATCAAAGGGTCACGGAATTGGACAAGCAAAAGCTGAAAACTCACTGTTAGTATCTTGTCAATCTCGTTTTGAGTCCTCCATTCTAAGCACTCGATCAGCTGTAACACTTGCAGTCATTAGTCTAGATCCCCCAAAGAAGCTAGCATCAAAGACAATCTAGATAAGGTGAAAGCAAACAGAATGTAAAACCATTTTGTGAGCTTTCTGGACATTCCAATCCCTCGCCTTAAGAAAGCGTTGCAAATTCTCTTTTGTATACCCTTGATGAATGTTCTGCAACATAACACAAGCACTCATATAAATCCACCAAATGTATTGTCTAAAGCTAGAGACAACACATAAGATCCAAGGTTACATATGAAACCACAAACTGAAAACTCTAGATCAGTCAAATGCTACAGCTCCACAGATCCAACCACACTGGATCAAAACGGATCTATTTAATAACCAATGCAAAGTATAGATCCAGATCAATGAAATCAAATCCACAGGACATGGTATAAAAAAGGGATTTTTTTTTATTTCTTGGGTTTGGTTGGAATCCTATTTATAGAAAACTAATCCACAAGATACCAAATCGAAAGTAGCAATCTTTGGGTTCAAGAAGCAGAGAGTTGAGAAGAAGTTGAATCTTTTGAAAGAATCTAAACGAGAAAAGTTAGTAAATTTACTAACCCGATACGACTCTCTCAGTGAATCATCAACTGTCCATACCAGAAAAGAAAAACAAATTAAGTGAAATCAGCTAAAAATTCGTCGGCGATGTTCAGACAAAGGAAAGATGAAAAACAAGAAAACACACACACACCGTCTTCCATTAAAGCACGTAATTGCTTGATAGCTTCCTCATTAGTGATGCTCATTTCTTCTCCTCTCTTGTGATAGATAGAGATCTCAGCTCAGATTTGAAGAAAGTTTCAGCGCAAAATCGAAAGAGGGTTAAATCTCTGATCTCACGGACAATAGTGTGCCTCCGAGGAGAAGTGAGAGAAAGATATAAAAAAGGAAACTTTTTTCTTTCTGATTTTTATGGAGCCACGAAGATTTAAAAAAAAAAAAAAAAAAAAAAAACTTTAGAGAAAGAGAGAGAGAGAGACCAAGTTCTTCTCTCTTCTTCTTCTTCTACTTCTTCTTCAAGACCAAAGAGTTAGAATGAATATCATATCATGATGATGTTTCCTTTGTAATAAAATTGAACCAGAGAAATGAAAAATTATATTTCCAATTTTTAACACATCTTTACGAATATCACGCATGCCTTTTTCTTTTTCATAATTGAATTATTTTTTATATTTATATATGGAATGAAAAGTCAAAGTGAGAATCTGAATTTACTTTTTACAAATTTATTCGCATTTTCTAAGTGTATTTAATGACTTTTTACAATATTTATGGTAAATTAAATTCCAATAAAAATTGTGTATGATTGATCTTGTTTTTTTTTTAATTGAAAATTAGAGGCAGTTAATAATAATAAAATTGACGCACATGCTTCCTAAAATTAAATAAGAGAGAGTATGCCATAAAAATGGAATCAAGTTCTTTCGAATTCTCTGATTTGTTGATATCCAATACATACGCACTACCAAAGTAAGTCTCGACCACAATTAAATATAACATATGTTAAGATACTTCTTTATGATTATGAAAAAGAAAAAAAAAATAATTGAATAGTTTGCTTGAGATTGCAACTTAAAAAAAAAAGAAAAAAGAGAGAATAAGATGCATGCCCCATACAATGTTTCTTCTCATAAGGTAAAATAACCAAAAAAAAAAAAAAGAACTGGTTGATATCTTCTTTTTTTTTGTAAACAAAGAAGTGAGATTCAAAGAAAGAAAGAAATAAAGAAACATAAATGTCCCATAAGCCATGTGTTAGTTCTCTTCATTCATCAATCACAAGAAAATATTTAAAATACCCCATTTATTATGTTTATGTGTATGTGTAATATGTATATATGAGTCATATGACACATGCATCATCGTCCTCTCTTATTACCTTTTTCTTCTGTCGGTTTTAAATAATACAAATAATTTTAGATATCATTCATATCAGAGACCATATGATAAAAAAAAAAGAAAAAACAAAACAATGCTTCTAAATTAGTGAAACTCGACCTAACATGTGGCATAAGTTAAATCTCGTTTATAGTTGGCAATAACACGAAATTAAATACTATGTATTATACCCTCCAATGAAGGTATCATTTTATTAAACATGCATGATCTTTTGATGCCCCTCAAAAAACTGGTTTTTAATTTATTATATACAGATTCAATTTCAAGTGGTTAATTATTATTTATTATTCTATACAATATAAACAAACACAGGCTATAATTGTCTAAAAGACTAAAACTATGGAATAATTGGAGAAATAGACAGTTTTTGAAACATAATTGTAGAAATAGTACAATTACTATTTACAATTAGCAAAATCCATATTTTTACTATGCTATTTTATTTCTTTGCCTTGTCAATCCTCACCAAAACATCTTATTTACAACAATGCCATTAATATATAATTAAATTATATTTTTCTTTCCTCTCAGATTTTTAATTAATATTTATTTATTTTTCTTTTTTCTTTTTAATTACATTCTCCCTTCAATCTAAAAACTAAAATACTAGTCAATGAAAAATTTTATTTTTACAAGTTTCAAATATATAAAAATCTATGTTTTTTTCTCTATTATATGATATGCATTTTGTTTGAAGATTTTATTTGATAATAACAAATAATTTTTATTAATTTTAGATATGTACAATTTACTAAGTGTACAGATCTAATCCGTACAACTTAAAACGTGTACATATGTACATCTGTACAACTTAATAAGTGTACAAATATTAGTATACAAGTCGTAATCGATTGTACACGTATTTGTACAATAGGATATATGTACAAATACAATTGTACAGATCAAACTGTATATTTATTATATGTACAGAAAAATGTATGTATAAAAACTATATACAATGATATATGTATAGATATAATTGTATGTATATTGACTACTATATTGTATTATACATGTATGTGTACAATATGATATATATGTACAAATACAATTGTACATATCAAACCGTACACATATTATATGTACAAATGAATTATACAGATGCCTTTTGTACATCTACCCTTTTGTAATTTACCACCACTACACTATACCCCACTTTCTCATCTATCTCACACATTCTCTATCTCACATAGTGGACCCCTTGTCTATTTATCCAATTTTGAATAGTAAATGTACTATATCACAAATTAAGTTTTGAAAATGTACTATAATGCTAATTTTCCCTAAAACTATCTAGAAGGTCAATTTTATGAAACTTACATTTTATGTGTCAACCTGTTTTTTTGTTTTCTTTTCTAAATATATATTTTCAGTTTATATACCTATTCAAGTATTTTTTACATTGTCTCATGCATCCATCGTTCCCACCACATTTCGGTAAAGCTCTTCTCCGACCAATACTGATGAGCTTAAAAATTTGAGAATAGTATACTTACGTAGTCTTAAGCCGTTGTGCATACTTAACTTTAGCCGCAGCTAGCAGTGCATAAAGGATTTCACTCAGTTAATATATCGTACGTGATTATGATGATATATATATGTATTACGTGCATTAATAACGATAAAACAAATATAGTGTGTAAAAGTGCATGAATGTCTCAAACTGTTTAAGGACCTTGTGCAAAAAATATAATTTACGTTTGAAATAATTTACGCACTGCTGCGGCTAATAATAATGAGAACTTTGAAATAATTTACGTTTCTTCTATGCAGAGAAAAACTGTATTATTAAGCAAATGTTAGTAAATATCGGAACAATGTGGAAGATGCATGCTAATTAAAATGACCATGATTACCTTAAACATATAATAGCATGCATGGCATCCTTTGAGAAGAAACACCATAAGTTAAGTAGCAAAGAATTTATTAATCATGCATGCCAGCTCTCTTTAATTTTAATCTTTGCTCAACGGTGACGCCTGATCACTAATATAATAAGAGCCATGCATGCACCCCATCAATTTCTTGAAAAGCTTCCTGGATCTGCGGGCAGTGATAGCGTTCTTAACCTCACGATGAAATTTAAACCATGCATGCACCTCCATAATCCATTAATTCTCTCATGCGACAACACGACACCTTTCGAGTCCGTGACTCTTTAACAATCGGCTCTCTAGCTATTTGAGTTATACTTGTGTTAATTACGGATGGTGATCAGAGGAGTAATTTGGGGAATAAGAAAAAGTGAAATGGTTTGAATTCCTCTAAATCACATATATATATAGAGGACTTGAAACTTTCTCAAGGTTAGAGATATTCAAACAAAGTGTAATGCATTGCTAAACGCGATAAAGTGAACACCATTTTACGGATTTTACCGCTATATTTAATCATTTCCAAAAACGGCGTCGTATAGAGAGTATACCTTTAACGAAACAGTTGTTCCTGTGTTCTTCTTGTTCCATAGTTTGGTCTTTTCAAGAGAAGAGCAGAGAAGGGGGGAGTTATGGAGGAATCGCGAGATATACTGATGTCAACGCTGATTGAATCTGGGGTTTTCATTCCCGGAGATTTCTCTTCCGTCGGCGAATTTTCCTCGGAGGCGTTGGTATCGATCTGTGCTCAGTTGCTTAATCTCATTGACCCATCCTCGTCGTCGCTTTGCGATGAGCTCCCTGATTCTCTCCCCGATAGGTTTAGGATCTGCACCGATATCGCTCATTCTGTTAAGAGTCTAGGCTACATCAACGACATGAGTTATTACAAGGTATACATTTATCACAAAGAAAAAATCTTAGACTTTTAATGAATCTGTGCGCGTCGCTGCTTCCAATTTGTATGTTAGTAATCACAAAATGATGAATTTGTTTGTTGGGTTGATAGGGAGAATCGTCTTTGATTAAAGGAATTAACTTTAGGATTTAATGTCTCTGAAAGGGACATGCTTTTACAGTGGAATTTATAGATTAGATGTGGAAGTTATAGCTCCCATTTCGTCTATCAATAGTGTTTTGTTCTTTGTATTTCTGATTCTGCAATGTCCTGAGAGAGTGGAGGTGCTGTGAGAGCTAGTGAGATGGGTTCCTGAGAGCTGTGATAGTCCTTTGGTCTTCGTTAGAAACTTTTCATTCTGGATAGTGTTGCTTTTCTTATATGTGTGACATCATGCTGAAACAGATTGTATGTGTTGCTTGCGGCAGTTTCTGCATCCATCTGAAGATGACTCGTATAGGTTGGTTAGGTTTCTAGTTGAGAGGCTTTCCGAGAAAAATCAAGGACTGCAAACTTCCCTAGCTGCTGATTTAGCTATCAGACCCACGATGGAGAATTTCAGAGATACTTCAGAAGAGATGATGGTGAAGGAGGACAAGGATGAGTCTTTCGATATGCATATACAGAAGGTTGAAGCTGTCCTAAAAGATCTTACAATGAATACTGAAATCTCCCGTTCACCAGACTCTCGCGCAAACAATACCTCAACCAATGGTTCCCTCATTGTTGACTCTTTTCCACGAAACACAGATGACCCTGTTACTGATTTACCATCAGATCGTTCTTTAAGAGAGTCATCTGGATATGACGAGAATTCTTATGAAGACCCATCTGAGGTACTTGTTCTTCTGCTTATTGTGGTCTTATCTTTTTCTTTTTTTATGTGTTTGGACATTTACATAGGAATCGTGATTTCAACCCATTTTTATGAATGATGATGGCTTATTATTTTTCTGCTTTGTAGACAAGTTATGAGACTGTTGAGTTACAGAATCAACATAATTTACTCATGGAGGAACTGGAATCTGGATCTTCAGAGTTATTTAGACTTGGCAGCGAGCTGGAGTTATTAAAGATGGTTGCGGAGAGGTTATTGGAAGACAAACAGCCGGGTGGATCATATCTCGATGAGCTCAATCAACAACTAGTGGTCAAAAGATGTAATCTCATGGATATTAGAAAGCAATGGTATGAACACTATTCTATCATTTTCAAGTTGAAAGCATCCATGCATTCAGTTTCATGGGCTACCACAGGAATTGATAACTTGAAATATATATGTACAATCCCTGTATGAATAAATAGATAGAGGCATTGGCGGAGCACTATGTATAGCATGATTTACTAAGTATATCATCTCTTCCTTCAGGGACGATGTAAGGAAGACTTTGGAAACTAAAAAGCTACGTCTTTTGGACAAACTTCATGTAGAGGAGCCAGAGGCTAAAGAGAAATTCCATAAGTTGAGAAAGGCTGAACTGGACTTACAATCTGTATCATCAGAAAGTCAAAAGAGGTAACCAGAAACTCGTATTACATGGCTCTTCACTATCTATGATTTTTGACTTTGTGCTTTTGATTGTTACTTTATCTCTTTTTCTTTTTGCTATTAGAGATATATGCTTCTAAGTTCTTTTGTTGGGTAATAACAGTGGAACACAAAAAAGTTATAAAGAAGAAAAATAAAAGCATTTTTTTATGGGTGTTGGCGTTGAAGCCTTGAATATATAACTGTGCCTGTCACCTTGATCAAGTTATTATTCCCTAGACTCTCGTATCATTTCAATGTGTTAATCTTTTCCCTACAGGGAAGATGAACTGTGTAACCTATACAATGAACTTGAGAGGCAGCCAAAAGCAGTGCCTCGGAAATCTCATATCCATGGGATTAAAGAAATAACTAAAAATAGCCGTAAACTTGACACTGATATTCAGAGAATTTCAGAGGAGACCAGGGGGCTACAATTAGAGAGTAACTCTATCCGAGAACGACTGCACCGATCATATGTTGTTGTGGATGAAATGGTTACAAGGTATGAGCCTTTTCTCAGACATATTTGAACTGTCTTGTCAGATATACACCAAAGGAAAAGTTTCCATGCGCTCGGCTTAACAGAACATTTATAACTTTTGATAATGTGATGATGAGGAAGGTTTTTCTTTTTATGCAGCAAAGTGAGAAAAGATCCATCGGTACGACAGGTCTACAAGCTACTGACCAGTATTCACAGTATTTTTGAGCAAATTTCTGAGAAAATTCTCATGACTGATCGGTTTAGAAGAGAAACAGCCGATTATGAAAAGAAGTTGGGGTCCATCACTGCTCGAGGCATGAGTTTGGAGAAACTACAAGCCGATCTGGATGCCATCAGGAAAGAAAACGAAAGCCTTAAGAAATAACTAGTTCATGTCTCATGTGGCAGATGAAGTTGGATGAAATTTTACATTTTTTGTAGAGTTTAAGGTATCCGTTTATGTGCTTTCAAATATTGAGGAAGTGTTTGTTTATAGGAATGTGTAATCTTTTTCTCAGATATATGAAAACTTTTCTGTTCTGATCTCCCCTACCAAAGAGAGCCTAATGCTGATTCGACTAAGTCACATCATATATGTTAAACTTTTCTGATCTGATCTCGCCTACTAAAGAGAGCCTAATGCTGATTAGGCTAAGTCACATCATATATGTTAAAACTTTAAAGCTCGGGAATTCAGACAAAAGAGGCATGAATATAGAGAGGCGGCCATGCCATCTTCACAAATCTATTCCATAGGGATATTCCCAAACATTTTTATGTATTTTCTGTAGTCTCACAACAACAAAAAGTAGGGCAAAAGGTTTGCTATTTTGATGCACATCTTTTTCCTTTTGTAATTGCCAACCTAACTTTCTCTGGGGATGATTGTTCCTAAGTATTTACACCCAAAAATCCAGACTTTAACATCTCTTTTACTTGTTTGATGTGAAACTTTATAGCTGCTTCCCTTGACCCTTGACCTAATAGTTGTTGACCCAATTTGTTAGGGCAGCTTGATGTTGCTGATAAGTGATGTGCGGGTTTCCTATGGGTTCAGCCATAGACGTTGTTGTGTGTGGCCCTGGCGGTAAGGTCTGATATGTAGTTGAAGCAGCAGCGGTCATGGGCAGTGTTGGCTGGTGTATTCCCATGAGGCCGCCATGACCACCCTGCACGACTGGAAAACTGAGTGGCTGACCTTGGAGTGCTAAGTTATACATTGGATTTACCTGCAGGTTGCCAAATCCCTGCCCAATCCATGGAGCTGCACTTTCAGTCTGCAACAACAACATCATGTATCATGTACAGCACTCTTAAAATTTATGGTCTACACATATATCATTGCAAGGAAAGAACAGTAACAAAACTCACCATGGGTGATGCATTTTCTTCACTATGGATAGAATTTAAGGCGGTTGCAGTTGGGATTTGTGTTGCAACCGTGGGAGAAGCGTGTAGGGATAGGTTTGCCTGGGAAGGATTTTCGGTGTTGCCTACTGGTCCTACATGAGAAGGTGCTGTTAGAGCAGCTCCTGGTGGGAAATAAGACTGCTGAGGGATCCCATTTGGGCTCACAAATTGGTGAATGTATGGCGGTGGCATATAATACGGTGAGTAATATGGACCGTAAGGGAAAAAATTGGGAGGGTATTGCTGCCTATAAAGATTTGCCTGTTGAGAGGCTGCTGCAATGGAACCCTGGTCTGGAGGATAGGATACTAATGCAATAGCTGCAGCATTGGAATTTCCGGTCTGCAATTTGAAAAAGAAAATTCAGCTATCAAGAAACTACACCAGATAAAGGGATCGTTTGGCTGCATATAATGTAACAAGAATATTCCACGTACCTGAGTCTCTGCTGCTTCTGTGTTTAAATGTTGGCCTAATGCAGATATAGAGGGGACAAGACCAAACATACTGAGTGGAGCTTGTTGACCATAAGCAATTTGATGAGTTTGTGTGTTTGATAAATCTTCCTCCTTTAATACTTCTTCTACAGGTGGGACATTGTGATCGGAGTGCACAATCAGCTCAGCTTCAGGTGCCAAATTTGAAATTTCATGATCCTTATCTTCAGAAAAAGTTGATGCTTCTTCTCTGCACAAGAAGGTATGGTAATGAGATACAAACATGAAATTTTGACAGTGAAAAGGATTAGCCAACAAAAAAAGATTACACCCCGACTACTATATCACAAGGAAAGACCTTCCCAAAAATGCTTATCTGAGTAGTCTACTTAACTGAAACCCAGAGTAGTGTGTTTGGATAGAGCTTGCAGAAGATCAAAAACTACAGAAAACAATATGTAGATTGAAAGTACTTAAGTCACCAACCTGGCAGAAGCAACCCCAGGAACACCATTGGAAGTGGGAGAAGGTTCTCTCTCACCATCCCCTGTCCCATGAGACGACTCCAAATTTGAGTCACCTCCGCCACTAGCACCATTGGTAGAAGATACCTCGTTCACAAAATTGGAATCAAAACTGCCAAATGTCAGACCATTTTGCAGTGCTTTGGCATCCTGAAGGTGGAAAGGAAATGTTACGTGACATCGTTCGCTAGCATCTGACTTGGGAAGCGAATGAGTTTTGCCTTTATTGAACACAGTCTCAATTTCTGTGACTGTTACAAAAAGAAACCAGAAGCTGAGTCAAATACCAGGCCATAGTTGCTGCACCATAACTAACTTAACTAGACAACATAATAAACTGACAACTACCTCAATGAAGAGAAAGAGTTTGAAGCAAACTGAAATTGATATCAAAAAAAAAAAAAATCAATATACCTGACTGGCTACTGCAATGAGATGTAGATATCAAAGAAACATCATCTTGAACTTTATGATTGCTGACTTTACTCGGAAGACTAGTAGCATCAGAATCCCTGCAAAAAGTATCATGTAATACTTAGCAAAGAATTAAGAGAAAAATGAAAAGCATCGATAATGGGAGGATGATATGTAGACATACTTAATTTCAGTAGGTACAGCGATGTTCCCTGCTTTGTTAGTGGCAGGTAGAGCAGTTCTAGAACCTCCTGTTGCATGATTAGCTCCATTTGCCCTTTTAAAAGATGCACTTCTTCCATTGCCTGCATCATAATGTCAACAAAGAGCTTAAAGCAGGGAAGAGCAAGAAGATTGTTATTTCTAAGAATAATTAAAAGAAGACAAACAAACCTTGATAAGTGTTACTAGAAGCAAAGTTCCTCCGACCACCTCTGCCACTTGCTTGGATAATTGGCACTATATTCTGCAGACAGACAGTGGTCATATGAGATAATGAAAGCTATAAGAGCAAGTGATTCATAAGGATTGCTATGTGAATCGAAAAAGAAAAAGAAAAAGAACACTTGCCTCTTTCCTTTTCTCCTTTTTACTTTTCACCTCATGAAACGTATCTGCAATGCCAAAGCAAAATACAATGATTCACACGAGTATAATGAGAATACAATTTCCAAAGAGGCTGCAATGTTAATCTATGCAACCCAAAATCCCAACACAGAAGACAAATAGTACCTAGACAATAATAAGGCACCCACTAGTAGAATCCTTGAACCAAAAAGTACCTTGCAGCTTAAAAGAAACGACTTAAAAGCATATAATTCCAAACGAGAAGGAGGAAACAGAGATATCTCTGATATTATAATAAAGTTCAAGGCACCAAAGAGAGAAACTCAAAACAGCAGCGAACCAAAAGAACATCCACACACGATCTTCCAAAACAGACAAACCCTACAACCCGAATCGATGGAGGCCAAACACACATGACAAGAGAGAGCGCCGCATCAGAAACAAGGAAACCCTAAGTGGAGAGAGAGAGAGAGATGACTAGTAGTAGTAGAGCTAGCAAGAGTTACCTAAAAAGAGGAGCTTCTGAGCGGTCTCGTCAGGATCATTGAAGGAATCCTTATAGACAGCGAAGATATCCTCGTCGGAGTGTTGTTTGCCAGTAATCTCTCTGATGCTCTGAAGGGTTTTGCGGAGATGGTGGGGAATCGAAACCCTAGAGGAGCCGCCATCGGAGCTCATGGTGTAAAACAAGGGGATGAAGAAGAAGAAGAAGAAGCAGAGAAGCGGGAGGAGAGAGAAAGCAAAATTGAAATTGGAAGCGCGAGCGAGCGAGAAAACTAGAAAAGCGAGAGTCCTCCGTATTGTATTATTATTACTGTTTTGTACCGCTTCCCAACTACTCTGTCCGTAACTTCATATATATATATAGATACGCTCACGTCACAACACTCTTCATTGCACAACACAACACAACACAACACAACTCAATCATGGTTCTGTTTGTTTTAAAACTGAATTGGTTAGTACTGGATTAAATTCTCTTAATAGTTAGTACTACTATATCAATACAGCTTAATTTACATTTTCATCTAATTCATCATATCATTAAGGTTGACTTCAATGGACCAACCAATTAGAGAGAGACACACATGGCCACGAGAGATGGACCCGAAAACTGTGTATACATACATATAGGTTCACAAGAGTGGTTCATGTAAGTAAAAATTAAGTGAGTTTGGAATTTTTGTTTTTGGTATACATATATATATATATATATATATATATATATATATGTATGAATCCGAGTCATGAAATCCGTATAACATATTGAAACAAGAATTCAAAATTTTTGAGCTAAGGCAAAAGCTCTGTCTCTCTTTCTCTCACTCGTCATCCGTCCCAAAATAGCGGTCTCCAAACTCCCCCATGCCGGGAACAACTCTGTATTCATCGTTTAGACCGAGTTCTATCTCAGAAGTCACAATCTTTATCCTTGGGAATTTTTTGCAAACCACATTTACTCCTTGAGGCGCCTAACAGACAAAACCAAATATTTCGAATGCTTCAGCTATATATGCAGAGAAGAAGCCAAAACGTTTCGGTTTTCAAACTTACTGATATGAGATTTAGAAATATGATGTTGGATTCAGGCACGCCTTTACTTATCAGCAGTCTTATAGCTTGCACCGCCGAGTTTCCTGCGAACAAACAAACAAAAACATTCCTTTGTTATCTTCCCACGTCTTGTCTTTTGCTCATCAGCAGTAACAGAGTTCACAACAGACCTGTCCCCAGGATTGGGTCTAGCAAAAGCACATGCCTTTCCGAAATGTCTGAGGGTAGCTTCTCGTATATAAGCTGGTGGTTGCCATAAAATAGTTAGGACAAGTGATGAACAGAGGAAGAACACAAACAAGTTACCAACCTGTTGACCGTTGTCCCCTTCTCTATGAATCAGAATCTTTCCAATTTTGATTCCTTTGCAGCATGCTCTAAGAGCGTTCTCCATACTCTCACCGCTGTGTTCAAAGACAGAATCATTATACGGTCTCCTTGAAGTATGATGATTTGAGCTGGTTTCTTTACCTTCTGATAACTGAGACACCACACAGCCTCTTACAGAAGTCCACACCCGAATACACAGATCCTAAATTATACAGAAGAAAAAAAAGACATGAGTTTATTTATCTCACTCTGGTTGGAGGTTTCTGCTGTGCAAAAGACTGCAGTAAGATATAATATTTGTCATTAGCTAACCTGTGGGAGTGACCACTTGCTTTTCTGTAAAAGGAAGGTGCCCGAGGCCGTGCTCAACAACCTGGCGAGAGGACATTAATAAGGCAAACATGGTAAATTAATGCAAAACAAAAATCAAACTTGGCACCCACCAAACGAATCAATCGATCGGAGTAGAAGATGAAGTCATGCTTTGTTGTTTTCGAGTCTCGGATTAGAGTGTGCATCCCACGTATCTGTAACCAACGGCTAAAAGATCAGTCGTTCTGGTCATTATACAAGAAATGATTACCGGTGATTAGAAGAGAAGAAGGAGAATAAGTAAAACCTGAAAAGTTGATTGAATAACATAAAGGTTTGGATAGATTTTACAGAGATCATGTTGACCGAGCTTCGTGTGGATGTGTTGCACAATCAAATCAATAGCAACATGGTTATCACCACCCCGGGGAATTATTATATCTGCGTATTTCTTTGTTGGGAGTATGAAATCCTCAAATGCTGGTTTCACAAACTTTGAATACTGCTCAGGAGTTTCACAAATCAAAACATAAATGAAGAGTCAGCGCGAAATCTAGACATTGTTGTGATATTAATGAAATTCTCTGCACAAAAAGAATATACAGCCACACAAACCTGATCAAGAACAGTGGCAATATCTCTGCCCTTCTCAACAGTATCGCGTTTAATCCTTCTCGCTAAACGCACATCAGCATCTGCATAAATAATGCCATGATGTAGAATAAGAAACCAAATTTTTTACCATCATGAGTACATAGAATTGTAACATATAATACACAAGTGCAGCATCTCATATATGCTACAGATTTGGCTAGATAAATGTAGCGGGTTCAGTATGGGAAAGACCTGCATCCACGAATATCTTCATGTTCATCAAATCTCGCACCCGAGGGTCGTGGAAAATGAGTATCCCTTCCAGAATTATAACATCAGAAGGGTTTACCTGCAAATATATCACATACAGAGAGTTATTAGTATATGCATATTCTTAGAAAAGCAATGATGGACAAGTTTATGCATCTGAAAAAAGAAAGCTAATCACTTCAGAAATAAGAAGCAAAGTTCAGAACTCAAAACCAGCAGATTTACCAAGTGACTATGTGAGAAGAAAGTAAGGATCCTAAAAATAGCTCCTTACTCTTCTAGGTGGAAACACATTGTTCTTGTAACTTTTAAAGTCATAGTTGGGAATATCTACAGCTTGTCCTTTTCTTAATTTCTCCATGGAAGACAATAATTGCTCCGTATCGAAAGCGTCTACAAGACAAGGAGCAAAACTCATATGTACAAGCAAACATATGACAGATAGTTCAGTTATTTAAAAGGCAAAGCGACACAAAACAGTCTTGCATTACATCAAGAGTCCCATAAATTAGTTTTTATTTCGCCATTCAGAGACTTACTAACCAGGATGGTCAAAATTGTAATCATAAACTCTTGCAAGCTCCTCTTCATTTACATTATGGTAGAAAGAATCCTGCCAAGAAAAAGAAAAAAAAAGGACCAACCTCAATGTATTATATACATTCGACTTACATCCACTGATCAGAACTAAAAAGATATAGTTGACAATGGAGAACCTGATTTACAACAACAGCTCTCTGATCATGTAGTTGCTGCATAATCATATCGCAAACAGTTGTTTTACCTGATGCTGCTCCTCCAGCAACTCCTGAAAAAAAAAACAATTTTCACAATTAGCATTTTCTGATTGCAACCATCTTGAAACCGGTAAAGATAAAATTACCCAGCTGTCTCTCACCGATCACAAAAGGTTGCCCATGTTCTTCATCCTCAGCCATTTGATCTGATATAGTGGAAACTAAACCATCCATTTGATGAAAGCCTGAGAAATGAGCCTTTGAAGATGTCTCTATCATATCAACAGCCGAGTTTGAAGCCATTCCTACAACACAAAAGATACAGTCTTTAAGATGGATCACATGGAAAATGCCAATAAGGCTTACCACCTTTTGTTGTCACTTCACCACCATTCAGAAACGAAAAAAGAAGACTTGTTTTTATATTTGCTTTCAGTCAAGAAAAGAAGAAAAAATGATCCTCAAAAGAATCAAACAACTTTAAAAAGAAGACATATTTAGATTGGACAAGTAGCAATGCCGTGATAGCCATAGCCTCAAATCTCGTTAAAACAAAACAAGGAAGAGGAACAACACTTGGAACCAATCGTGATCGACAAAATAATAATAGTAACGCCAATCCTAACATTATCCCAGGGGAAAAAAGAAATGAAATTAGAAGAAGAAAAAAAAGGAGATTCAGAAAGGTAGATAATTTTGAGGATAAATACATGCAAAAAGAATGAGAAGAAACGTGTGTGTTCATCAATCATCATCAAAATAAAAATCGAATCTTGAGAAACAGAGGTTAGAAAGAAAAGAAAGGAAAACTTACGAAATTAAAAAGGAAATCGAGATCACGGATAAGCTAATAAAAAGACACGAAGAGCTTCCCAGTTCCAACATATAACAGAGGGGGATCTAAAACATATATATAGACAGACACAGAGAGACGAGCATTGCCTGTTTAAGTTGATGCACAGACAAAAACTGAGTTACAGATATCTCCTATATTATATACGTATTTTATATTTATATAATAATATATAAAATGTGTAGTATATGCGGTGAAAAAGAGAGAGAGAGAGAAGGAGAATGAATGGGAGGATCGATCAAGGATGAGATGCAGCGGCGGAGACGGGTCTCCTACGAAAACCGGAAAGTGGGTTTTTTGTTGGTTAATTACGAAACCGACCTTCCCACTGATAGCGTAGTAATTTGGTAGTGGCAGTAGTGGTAAATTGGAGGTTGTTTCAGGTCCTTAAAAGTAAAGACAGATGGAGGATCCACGTCAGATCCTATTAGGACTGTCGGACCTACTCTCCACTGCTGCGCGCTAACCCACGCAGTGATATGGTCGAATGATCATCTACATTACCTTCATAAAAATAACGTTTAATCTTATTAATAAGTACACACATTTTTTCAATTAGAGTATGTACTTTTCAATTTTTTTATTCTTCACAAAAATGTGAACTAGGTGATGTTTCGATTTACTTTTTTTGAATTTAGATCCTTTTTTTTGTAAAATTTCTTCATATATATGGGATAGAGTTATAATATTTACAAGTTTATTGGACGTTAATGCAATAACGCCCTTTTCAATTGGTAGGTTTCTCGTGAAGATGATAAGCCAATAAACGACGTCGTTCCATATCGGGGTTTAGAATCTTTGATTCTATCGCCATGTTTTCATCTTCGATTAGGTTAATCGTATCTGGTTTCCACCGGACTCAAACCCTAAAATCGCCGGTAAATTCTCCGAGCGTCTTCGTCTCCCTACCTAAATTCTTCAGTTCCGAGTCGAATTCTACGGGAATTGGTTCAAGATCCGTCACCATGAGCAGCGTTGATAAAACAGCAATGGAGAGTCGAGCGAGCAGGATGAGAGAGAAGCTTCAGAAAGAGCTCGAACCAGTGGAGTTAGTGATCGAAGACGTTTCGTATCAGCACGCTGGTCACGCCGGCATGAAAGGTAGAACCGACGAAGAGACGCATTTCAATGTCAAGATCGTCTCCAAAGGATTCCAAGGAATGAATTTGGTGAAGAGGCATAGGTTGGTCTACGATTTGCTAAGGGAAGAGCTGGATACTGGATTGCACGCTCTTTCTATCGTCTCTAAGACCCCTTCTGAGTCTCCTCCTTCAGGCTAGTTAGTGCCTGGCTACTCTTATGACAGAGTTTATGATATTGATGCTTACTTTGTTGTTAACAAACCAACTCTTTCTTTACTTTAAAGATTGGATTTTTCCCATCAAAGTCTCTGTTTTTTTTAATTTTATTGCAGAACCCAATGCTTCATTTTCTTACATTTGCTTGAGGGTGTGTGTGATTGTGTTTCTGGATTTGTGTTTGCTTTTGGATGATGGTAGGTGTTCGAACTTCAAACAAAGACACTAGCTTTTAGTTCAATTCGACTTCTGTGTTTTCTAGAAACCAAAACTACTGTACATATATTGTTCCTAGCTTGATGAAATGTTCTAGCTAGCTTCCATTTGTCATCTCTGTTTTCAGTTGAACTTTAATGCAAATTCTATTCATTCTCTCCCGGAAAATCTCTAAAAGCAAGCAGAGTTGAAGAGGTCATTGTTGATGACAAATCAAACCTTGTTTCTTGGGCAATCTCCCGCAATTTCTCTAGGGCATTGAGTACACATAATCAAACTGTATACAAAACTCAAACTTTAATGGCTTATCATTTGTGAAAATCTCTGGTTTAGGGTGGTAGACTGGTAGCTATTGAAGCACATTTATGATTTTAAATGAAACCGTTTGTGCCATGTATTTGCTAACTTGGAGGGCAAAAGGGTTGTTTTTATTTATCATGTTTCAGCCTCGTTCTTCTTCCAAGTGCCCTTTCATATTCAGTGATTGTGTTATATAGCGTTTTCTACTCGCTAACGCTAAAAACAAAACGCCTTTTCAAAAGAATGTTGTATGGGTTTAATTTAAATCAGTCATCACCTTTTTGTTTTGTGGTTAAACTCAATCGTCATTTGAGTTCCATCTTTAGGGAAACTAAACCGTCCCTTAAGTTTTATACATGAACAAAGCCGAAATAGGTACGTTAATATATTTCTGAAGATAAAACGAAAAGAAAAACTTCCCAAATATTAGAGCATTCATCACTACATTGACGATGAGAGAGTATTTGGAACTTAAAAGAGATAGAGACGATGATGAAGATAAGTGGGTCGAACACTATTCATCCAAGCATCAGATACTTCTCCTTGGCGAAGGAGATTTCTCGTTCTCGTGTAGCTTAGCTACTTGCTTCGGCTCTGCTTTCAATATCTATGCTTCCTCTCTCGATTCATATGGTAACCACTTGGTTTGCTTACATTGCCAGGGCTTTTATGGTGAACCAGTACTGATTTCTTGAGCTTCCCGTGAATGATTGAGTTTTCAAGATCTGCATTTTTTCCTCTCTGTTCATAGCTTGTATAAACCAAATTTAAAGCTTGATTTCATCTGTTGTCTCATGTGTTTTGTGGGTAATTGAAGCAGACGCTGTAGTTAGAAAGTACAAGAAGGCAAGATCAAACCTTGAAACTTTGAAGAGACTTGGAGCTTTCCTATTACATGGAGTTGATGCAACCAAACTGCAACGCCATCCTGATCTTCATTTCCGAAGATTTGATCGTGTCATCTTCAACTTCCCGCACACCGGTTTCCACACTAGAGAGTCTGATCCATGTCAAATACGGTAAGAACAACGTTTTAGTGTTACAGATACTGTCTTCTTGCAGTTAGACCAGATGCTGCACCTTTGAGGGATATTTGTAACGATTTATCACTTGTCTGTAGGAAGCATAAGGAGTTGGTTTTTGGATTTTTCCATGGTGCATGCCATATGCTAAAGGATCATGGAGAAATTCATGTCACTCAAAAGACCAAAGCACCTTTTTGCCACTGGAAGCTCGAAGAGCTCGCTAGCAGATGCTTTCTTGTACTAATTCAGTGTGTGGCGTTCGATAAGAGAAACTTCCCTGGTTATGAGAATAAGAGAGGAGATGGATTCAGATGTGACCAACCGTTCCTTTTGGGAGAGTGCAGTACGTTCAAATTCAAATTCTCTCTTGCGGCTAAGGAGCTTTATGCAGAAAAGATGAAACGTAGAGAAGTGAAAGAACGAGAATCAAAGTGTCACCAAGCTTTTTCAACTCGGGCAATGAATAATAAACATGCCCGCGTTGAATACAGCTCGATGCATCATGAACTGCCCAGATACACCAAAAGAACAAAACCTCATCGTAAAGAACAACTTCTTGAATACAAACGCTTCAATAGAGTTTCGTTAGAAATGCATAATGGAGAATTACAAAGAATGGTAACACGGAGGAGCTTTCCTCATCAGTACACTAAAGAGTCACCAGAAGCATGTCGCCTTCAGTGTCAAGACTGTGGAGTACAAGCTAGTCAAGCACCGTTCACCAAACGGTCTCTACGCTTCAGTGGAGTTTCTCACGGAATTCATAAAGGGAAAGTACGAAAAATGTTAATACGGAACTGCATTGGGGATAATCACGAAAGGGGAAGCATGAGTAGGCAGAGCAAGCTCAAAACATGGTAAATCCTTGATATTTTGCTTATACAGTACTAAGAAAACAAACTCGCTAAATGAGTATTGAATGTTTCTAGGTGATTCATCTACTAATAACTTCAAAGGAGCTTCTGAGGATAACTTTGATGGAAACAAACAAGGTGACTAAGCCTTGGACTCACTAACAAAGCTGCATTCTATCTTCTCTTCTGTTTATTAGGCTGATGCAATGATCTTTATATGGTTGGAGATGATATTTTGTTATAATATTGTGTGTATTTGTCTGGTTTTTACTTATAATGTAGTTGAAGGTGATTGCGTCCCATAAATCTCGTAAGGAGAGAATCCCATAAATGTCTGATTGGCTCCACGCGGAATGCTTAGCCAGAAGATTTGGTAGGACGCATTATTAGTAGTAAACTAGTCATTTGTTTTTGAGTAACTTAATAATATGATCTTAAGCCGTTCTTGTACACATGACTAATATATAGACTTAGCCACTGTTCCGAGTAATTTCAACTTCTAATAAAATCAAATAAATTAAGGTAAAGTGATAATACACATTTTTGCGGATAACAATATTAGTAACTATCCTTATTTCTGCGTTTGTGTTTTGTAGTCGCTAACGCTCAAATAGAACGCATTTTCCAATCAATTTCATCATGGAACACTAGACCTCTTTATATGAGCAACAATGGTACCTTTATACTGAAATAGGCTTAATAAACAAAATCAATAAAATGATCGCCTTTTTGTTATTTTCGGTGTAAAATCCCAATCGTCACTTCCATTTTTGAATAGATGAGAAAACTCAACCGTCTCTCTACTCTTCTACTACAGTAATAACGTTACTTCTATTTTTGAAAACAAAAACCAAACCTTTGTAAAGTATCAACCTTTATCGCTCCAATGGCGATGAGAGAGCTCTCGGAGGTTAAAAGAGGTTGGGACGATGAAGAAGAAGTGTGGGTCAAACACTATTCGTCAAACCATCAGATACTTCTCGTCGGCGAAGGAGATTTCTCATTTTCTCGCAGCTTAGCCACTCTCTTCGGCTCTGCTTCCAATATCTGCGCTTCCTCTCTCGATTCATACGGTAACACTTCATTTGCTTGCATTGTCAAATTTTTTTAGGGTTTTTGATTTCGTTTTCGCTTAAGTTCTCTATGTCTGAGGTTTTAGGGTTTTTAAATGCCACTTTTAGCAAGCGACTCTTTTTCTCTCAGACTTGTCTGTGAGAAGACTCTGTAAGTTTGGGACTTGTCTGTGAGAAAGAATCGAAATCAATTTATGGGGTAAACTACTAATTATGGAGCATTCGCTGAAAGATGTGATTTCTTTGTACGGATTATAAACCTGTTTAAAGGTTGTAGCTTTATGTTCGATTTCCTCTGTGTTTCATGTCTTTATGGTGATTGAAACAGATAATGTGGTTAGAAAGTACAAGAAGGCAAGATCAAACCTTGAAACTTTAAAGAGACTTGGAGCATTCCTTCTACATGGAGTTGATGCAACTACACTGCAATATCATCCTGATCTTCGTTATAGAAGATTTGATCGTATCATTTTCAACTTCCCGCACGCCGGTTTCCACGGCAAAGAGACTGATTCCTCTCTTATACGGTAACTTCAACGTTTTGGCCCTACATATATGTTCTTCTTGCAGTTGAATTGTGGACCTCTGCTAGTTGCTGCAGCTATGAGGGATTTTGTGTAAAGAATGTGTAGATGTTCTTTGTCTGTATGTTTTGTTGTAGGAAGCATAGAGAACTGGTGTTTGGATTTTTCCATGGTGCAAGCCGTTTGCTAAGAGCTGATGGAGAAGTTCATGTCTCTCACAAGAACAAAGCACCTTTCTGTAACTGGAATCTGGAGGAGCTAGCTAGCAGATGTTTTCTTGTGTTGATTCAACGTGTGGCGTTCGAGAAGAGCAATTACCCTGGTTATGAGAATAAAAGAGGAGATGGGTCTAGATGTGACAAACCTTTCCTCTTGGGAGAGTGCAGTACTTTCAAGTTCAAATTTTCTCGTGTGGCTAAGGAGCTTTACGCAGAGAAGGTTAGATGGAGAGAAGTGAAGGAACAAGAATCAAGTTTTCCTCAAGGTTTTGTAAATTTGCAGCCAGTGCCATTTGATCATGGGTATGCCCAACAAACTGAATTTCACGGTGTTAGCCAAAGAACAGTTTCGTTTGATCTCAGCTATCGCAGGGACTATAACCTTAGGCAAGTCCAAGATCCTTGTGTTCAATCAAGACAAAGAACATCTCCATTGGATCTTTGTTATGAACAAGAACATAGATATTCACAGTTTGAGGATCCCCATTTTGCTCGTGTAAGGAACCATGCCCAGTTTCATGGCAACTCATTAATAGAGCTGGAAGAGTACAGATACATTGACAGAAGCAGCCTGCCTTTTCAAGACGCTCCTTTTCAAACAAATCATCGACATCAAGAACAATCCAATGACAGTTCTAACCGCCTCAATGGAGTTCCGCTTAATAGTTATGAGGGTATGATACAAAGAATGCTGAAACGGACAAGGTTTCCTCATCTGTACGCTGAAGAATCACCAGAAAGACACCGCCTGCTTTGTCAAGACTTACCAGTTCAAGCTAGTCAAGAACCGCTATTCGAATGCTTTAACCGCTCAAGTGGAGTTTCTCATGAAAGTTATGGCTGGGAAGTACGAAGAATGTCAACAAGTATCAGGTTTCCTTATCCGTACACTGGAGAATCACAAGAAGAAAGCTTGACTAGGCAGAGCTACCTCAACATTCATCCTCCACGGCACTGGTAAATCATTCTTCTTTGCGTATATTATGAAAAGAAAGCTAAATCGATATCAAAAGTTTCCAGGTAACTAATCTTTAAAGAACTTCTCAGGATACGTTGATGGAAGCAAGGTGGCTGAATCTTGGACTGACTCACGAATGAACCTCTAAGGATGGTGTAATTTATCGTATGTTCTGTTTATTAGCATGGCAGTAAGTTAACTTCTGACAACTCAAAACTGTGATGATCTCGATATGGAGATGATATTTTGGGGCAATTTTCTGTGTATATTCAATTAGACTTTCGAAGAACGTGCGGTAGAAATGATTGTGACTGTAAGTCTTGCGACTTGCATTGTCTTAACTCTTTAAGGAGATGATTATCTTTTCCCACAAACAGTCTCTCGTACTAATGAGATTCACTCAAAGACATGACCCTGGACCAGAAGGTTTTATTCTTTAGAGTAAAATATAGCAACTTACAATATATGGTTTTATCATATCTTGTAGACTAACAGAAACGTAAGCTTAGCCGACAAGGCAACAATCGCTATCCGAGCAGTATAAAATCTTCAATTTAATAAGTACTTTATAATATTGGAGTACGAAAATGTCAAGCAAATTGCATGGAAACTGATAGTGAGAATATAAGAATATATATGATAATAATAACATATAACTGTTTAAATTTCAAGGAATCTGCTTATGACTGAGTCTATTATATATATATAGTACCGCGTAAATTATAAAAATTATGATGATTGAATTTACTACGAAATAGTTTCTATCTTTTGAATTTAAACTTCCTTATTTTAAAAGTATATGCTCACGTTGTTGTTATAATATGTTTATGTCAATCCTATAAAGATTAGATGATCCTTGTTCTCTATAATTAGTTACACAATCATAATTCAATAGAACAAGATAAACACTCAAGCAAATCTTGGTTCTCTCCTTAACAACACACCAATATCAACATATTCTTCTCGCCGGCGATAATTTTTCAGGCAATATGATGAAGGTAACTGCTGTTATTTCCTTTTATGTATGTTCCTTTTAAACAAAAATTCTTGCAATACACGAAACTTATTAGTCATTTATGATCGTTCTTTCTTCAGCAACGGATAGTTCTGAAGATGGATGTGAGTGACAGTGAGAAATCGATGAAGAAAGCTATGAAAATCGCATCTGCAAAATCCGGTAACCATCTCTCTACCCTATGACGTACTTAGCAAGTAACTTGCAAAGGAAGTTAGGTCATGTGAACCGTTTCAGCAACTTTAGTTTATCTACTGTCTACAGGTGTGAGATCGGTGTCGATTCTGGGACAAAACGATCAGTTAGTTTTACTGGGAGAAGGTATTGACTTGGCGGAGCTAATACGGGAGCTCAAGAGGAAGGTTTGCCAGACGAGCATCATCACCGTGCAGGCCGCGCCGCCGCCGCAGCAGCAGCCACATCCTATGGCTATGGGCCAATACAACCAGATGCCTCCGGCGAGAAGATGTACATGTGAGATACCAAACTCAGGTTTCTGCGGGATATGTTGTTCTATGAGTCAACACACATATCAGATGGTATCATCGCCGTATCCTCCTCAGGTGCTCTATTGTCGTGATGAGACCAATAGCTGCAATATTTTGTGATGTGAGGAGGCTTTGAGTGTTTTTCCTTTTTTCGTTGAGTTTTCGGTTTTTGTTTCTTAGAACTTATAATTCTGATCATACGATATATTGTTAAATTCGTGATGGCCTAAAATGTTTTGTTTGTGTGTTTTTGACTAATTGCTGTAATATGTAAATGTTGTGACAGTATGGATTATATTTTTTTATAAAATAAAAATGTAAGTTGTGTTTAATATGTTGTAAGGTGATGGAAGTCAAGTCCACACGACCCACACACAACGATCATGTTTAAAGGAATTTGGTTTAGATGACATCGACGATGAGGGGACTGCTTCCATGGATAGAGAGAGATGATGTCCAAATTCCAAAGACCTCAACCATGGGAGGCGTTACGTTACCATGTCATTGTCAATATTTCAATTGTTTAATGCGGTTTTTCAGATTAAATTAAGAAAAATATATTGTAGACAAAATTGTAACGAATAAACTGAATGAATCAACTGAAAAAACATACAAATACTATAACAGATAAAAAAAAAATGCAACTCTCTGAAATAAATAATAATTTATAGACCCAAAAAAAAAAAAAAGGAATATTATTGTCAACATTAGATCCTCTGAAAACTGTGGAAGAACATAAATGAATAAAAGAAAGATAAATGTTGAGCCCAAAAGAAAAGAAGACTAGCAATATAGGCCCATTATCATATTATAGCCCACGTCGGTTGATATTTGGATTCTGTTTTTGCAGTTGCATTGTTTCCCGCCTATTTTTGAAGAGAAAACTAACTAGAAAAACAGAATTCTTCAACAAACAACAAAAAAACTAGAAAACAGATATCTTCAAACAACTGTTTTTGGACAACTCATCATCTTTTTTTCTTTCTCCAAATATAAATATCTCTCTTCCTAAAGACATAAATTCACACAACAACAATCCTCATAAAGAGAGTTAAAAACACACACAACAATCCTCTCAATCCAAAAGCCAATTCAATCAAAAGATGAATCACTTCGCCGGAGCTCTCTTCCTCTGCACCGTTCTCCTCTCCTCCGTCGCCGGAAATGCAGATTCCGCTATGATCTCCGATCTATGCAAACGCTCCGACGATCCAAAACTCTGTCTCTCCAGCATTACTTCACGGCCCGAGTCAGGCGAATTCGCAGACACCAGCAACCAGATCGAGATCATTGCTATCTCCGCCGCGTCCGCCAATGCTTCCTCCACCTCTGCCTACATCAAGAATAAGCTAGGTAACGAAGGTCTTGAGCCAGCGATCGAGGACACGCTAGAGGACTGTCAGAAGAATTACCAAGACGCCGTGGAGCAGCTCGACGACTCCATCTCAGCGATGCTCGCCAACGCGCACGCGGATGTCGACGTCTGGCTGAACGCCGCGATCAGCGCCATCGAGTCATGTGGAAACGCATTGGAGTCACGCGCCGGGGACGATGCGGAGCTTTTCCAGAGGAACGAGCTTTTCCTTAAGCTGTGCAAAAACGCTTTGATGATCAACAAAATGTTAACCTCATAGAAATCAATCCCCAAAATTTAAATATAATGTGTAACATTTGATTTAACTGATTGTTGTTTTGTTTGAGGTAAAATGAGATTATTATAAAGTCAAAGATAACAAAAACAATGAGAAGTTTTAATATCAAATAAATTTTTAACAATGTTGAAGAACGGCCCAACTCGAGAGTCTCTCTTGGGTCCAAATAGTTAAAAGCCCGTTTATAATCTTAATGCTAAATCCCAATTTCTTCTGTTCGTAATCGTCTAGATGAAAACACTTCTAATTGAGATTTTCTAGTTCAACTTGGTTTATACAAATGAAACGTCGGTACTTTGAATAAGTCTCACCGACGGACAACATGATTAGCCTCCGTAGAAAACTGTGTAAATTAAAAGCACAAACAATGGTGGAAATCCAACGAAAACGAAACCAATGGTGGAGATCTACTCGGACCCTTATCATGCAATTTTTATTTTCTAGTCAAATTGTTGTACCTAAAACTCCAACTTTATCGTTGACCTACCATATTCATAACGTAACCAAATGTAATAATATTTTTGTTTATTCTTCAATAAAAATCATCAAGATTTTCTTATATAAATTTGGAAGTCTAGATATTTATTATCATAAGGTGATGAGAGTAGTCAAGTGTCAAACTCTGGTGATAAATAATCTTTACAACTGATATTTTTAGCAAATTGTACGATCACGATCAAATGAAGGTCATTTCAGAGTGGTTGCTTGTAAGATTAGTGTTGGATAGATTCTAGATTCAATGCCCCCACAAACTGACAAAACGATAGATACCTTTCTTCTCCACTTGGACCAATTATATATTTACACACACACACACTTGTTCCTAAGCTTTCATTTCATATAAACACCAACTTGGTATTTAGAAATAAGATTTAATCTTGAAAATATTGTTGAAATTTTATTTGATATTTAGAAATAAGATTCAATTGGAACAATTTGCACACCAAAGATGATGAGATCATTAGACAAAACTTGCACTCTTGTAAAGGTATTCATAGATTCCACTTAGTCCCTACCATTGTGTTGCCTTTCTTCTTAACAATGATAGAATCTTGCTTTCACTTTTTGAAATTTCTACGTATGAAACTATATTTTTATCAACCAAGTTGATAATATATACTAATCATTCTCTAGTGTTAAAGTAGCTATGAAGGATATGTAACTAAAGACATCCTTTGTAGTTTTCTTTCAAAGCATCCAAAACAAACATGGTTGATTAATTCGATTGGTTAGTTAATTTTCGGGTTTACAAAAGATGCGCATAAAAAAAAAGTTATATACATATGAAAATGTATGGGAGATTCAAGTTGAAGAAACCTATGGAAGAAGTTGTAAGTTGGAAAAGAGGAGTGGGCAAAGAAACCAAGTTGACATAGGATGCACGCAAATCTATGACTGAGCTGAAAAGAACACTTCACATTAATCTATGCATATTCTTCTCTGTCACGCCATATTTGTTTATATGGACTATGGAGTATAAATTGTTTAAAAGTGGATTTGCCTACTTTGGAAGCACATATATTCCAATTGCTTCCATCATAATCCTAAAGCTAATTTCACAATCTACAGAATTAAATTAAAAACATATAAAAATCCTAGAATTAGAATTTTAATCAATCAAGATCTTTATAAACTGCACTAAGAAGAGTGTATATATCATCAGATCAGTCTCAACTTTGTGTCTTTGTCATTAGAGAAAAGGATAATGCATGACGGATCAATGATGGAATTATCCAAAAACCCCATATCCTCTAACCCAGGGAAGTATCTATAAACCTAAAGTCTGAAATTAGTGTGGAGACCAAGTCTACAGTCTCCAATAAATGAGACACACGCCCCATACGATTTTACCAGATAGAGAAATAAGCCAAGGAACATAACACCAAACACTTTACTCTCTCTCTCTCTCCCTCAACCAAAAGCAAACGAACCCTTGGAATGACGTAAAAGCAAAAACACTGACTTTGCTTCCCCGTTATTATTACCAATCCAAGAAATAAAGCCAATGATTCCTCCATTAAACAAATGAGTTTTGCCTCTCCCTAACCCCAAATCTCAAGCCTTTCTCTCTTTGATTCTGTTAGCTTGCACTCACATATGCATATAGGTTTGTATATGGGAGTGTATGCACAAAATCTTCATGTAATATTCACATCAAACACAATCCTCCCCTTTTCTATCTCCATAACCCCTAGATCACTCGCATAAGTTCTAAAAACCATTCCAATCTATATAAGATCATAAGGAAGGGAAAAAGAAAGTGATTTTGTTAGGAGAAGAAAAGGGTAAAAAGAAAAAGGAATTGGTAACTTTTTATATATGGTAAGAAGAAGCGAAGAAAAGAGCAAACCTGGGAAAGTCAGGGGAGAATTTGCTGGAGGGTATATTGGATTGTATCCATGACATCACTGCGGCTTTGGCTTTCGCTAGGATGACTGATTCTGCTTACAGAGTAGACACCATTTCTAGACTCGCCCAATGGCGAATCCACAATCTCTCTTCCTCCACTTACCGCAAGTCCGATCCTTTCAAGATGGGTCTCTGGAATTGGTATATCTCTCTTTTTTCTTTCTTTTTTCATTTATGATCCGACATGATGATACTGATGGATGAGAAAAGTGGACACCTTTTTTGTGTTTGGTAATGATAATCAGATAGATTTTTGACAAATATGGTTTTTGATTTGAAGGCACTTGTCTGTGGAGAAAAGCAAGATGCTATTAAATGTTAAGTTGTATCCAGAGGTATCAAACCTTACCAGAGATAACCCACCAGTTGCTTCCTTTGCTCTTCGTGTTATCTCTTCTGCTGGTGATAGGAAAGTTTTATCTCATCCAGGTAGAGAAAATAGTACTTGACTCAATAGTCTGATTACGGTTTCCTTTTGTTTCTGTTCCAAAACAGATGAAACAAAAATGTTGACACTGTTTCTTTTATGATTTACTCGAATGCAGAAGTAATAGATAAGCGGATCAAGACAAACGAAGATTTTCTTTGGACAATTGAAGTTCCCTTAACTGGAAAAATCATCATTGACGTTGAGTTTCTTGACTTGAAGGTTCTGTCTCAAGATGTAAGTGTCTGTCTCATCACTTCAGAGATTTTCTTTAGAGATTGACTAGCTTTTTTTTCTATTCTTGAACTATCCATTCTATGCAACAATTAAATCATTATATATTTGGTGGAACATATGTGTTGAGTTGTTGATATTTACCTGAATTGGCAGAGTGGAGAATTTTACTCTATATGGGCAGACGGTTCAACTGAGAATCAATCGAAGACAACAGCGGTAACATCCCTTGGACGTATGTTGACAGAAAGCATTTACACAGACATAATGATCAATGCCGCTGGTGGAAGCAATGGTGCTCACCGAGCTGTTCTTGCCGCCCGTTCGCCTGTTTTCCGCAGCATGTTTTTACATGACCTGAAAGAGAAAAAGCTATCAGAAATAAACATACTGGACATGCCACTTGATGCTTGCCAAGCTTTTCTCAGTTATATCTACGGCAATATCCAGAACGAAGACTTCCTTATACACAGATTGGCACTCCTCCAAGCAGCCGATAAATATGATATAGCTGATCTAAAAGATGCGTGCCACTTGAGTCTTCTAGACGATATCGACACAAAGAATGTGCTGGAAAGGCTACAGAATGCTTATCTCTATCAGTTACCTGAACTGAAGGCTAGCTGCATGAGGTATCTTGTGAAGTTTGGTAAGGTATTTGAGATCCGAGATGAGTTCAACATATTCATGCAATGCGCAGACAGAGATTTGATTTCTGAAGTCTTCCAGGAAGTCCTCGGTACCTGGAAAGGATTTTAGGGGAAATCAGAATTGGGTATGTGTGCTATCATTATATTATACAAGAACATTTGTGAAAACTAAATTTTTTTTGTGCAAAAGGGATTTGTTGGTGTTTTTTTTTTTTATGTACAGATTGAAGTATTTGGGGGGTTTTAACTCAAAAACCCCAAGTGGTTGTCATTGCAAGGATAAAACAAGCAACATGTAAATTCATGATTTGATTGAATGTGGCTGTTTAGCTACTATGAATTGTTAATCTACAACAATGTAACGGTTAAGTTATTAAGTAAAATCTACAATCATCTTGAAAATTGATTTTACCGGATTCATGAATCTAATTAGTTCCAGGAAGGAATGAGGATAAGGGATACTAAAGTTATTATACCAAAGCTAGTTTATTAAAAATGGTGACATATGCTAAAACATCTCAATGATACAGGCAAATCCAACAGGAATGGCTCAGTAGTTTCAGAGAATCAAACAAGTATTTTCTTAGCTAAGACTAGAATCTGTGCTATATACACCAATATACATATGTAGTACATGGTTTAAACAACTTCCCCGGGAAAAATAAAAAGCAGCAAACAACTCCCTAGACTCAATTAAACATGCATCTGAACAACGCAATTATACTCTGATATCCGCCAGAAGAAAGTCAGGAACAGGAAAATTACATAGAAACGAACAAGAATCTGGGACAGCAAAACAAATCACAAATTGAGAACACTAATCTGAGCAACGGATGCGTAGGAAAACAAAATTAAAGCGAAAAAAAAGAAAGAAAAAGAGAGTAGAATTAGACAAGTTAATCGACATGGGTGCTCAGAATCGCTACAAAAATGGTTCACGGATGCAAGAAGAAGCGACGACGACAACAACAAAATGAAAAAATTTCGAGCAGCGAAGACTTACGTTCGGCGAAGATCACCACCAACATCGTCTTCCGAATCTGTGAAATTCGCATTATTTCCATCGGGAATATTTTGTTCATTAGAAGATTGGCTGAAGAACTTTTCATTTTGAAAATTTTGATCCCGGCAAACGAAGTGCGTCAGTAATGGGCCTTAATGGCCCAAAACGATTGATATCTGGTGTTGAGAAACGGCGTCGTGTTAATCCAGGTACTCTCTTTTCTTCTTAGCTCTTATGTGAAGTGAAGTAATTAGCTTTGAAAAGACTCCAACATCTTTAATCTCTTATAGAGGTTGCAAACAAACAAAAAAAATCAATCCTTTGAAGCATTAAACTGGTCAATTTAGTTGATACATGCAAAAAAAAAATTGTATTTTTTCTTTCTTCTCTTCTGTGGCTATTCTCCTCAGTAATTTATACTAGGGATTTATCAAATTATATATATATATATATATACAGTAAGCTTCTTTTGAATGATCCGTTAAATTAGTGAATCCTGATAAACATGGAATCACAATTTCCTCTGTTTTCGTTATGGACACAGTCGTGACTCGTGAGGCTCTCTCGTATTTATGGTGTTTTTGCTGCTCGTTCGAAGATAAACCATTTTTAAGTGTTAAAGTCGACGTCTGAATCTACTCATATGGAGATTCAATCTGCAACTGCTGTACAGATTGAAGTATTGGTTTTTAATTAACTCCCCCATGGACTCATTCATACATGCATCTGAACTACACAACCAAGCATGCATCTGAACAACACAATCATACTTCAAGGCCTCTGACTCTTTGAGACCTGTCACAATAAACAAGTACATGACAAGTGAACAGAGAGATTGTTTGTTTACTTCTCTAATATACATGGAAAAAAGTGTGATTGCTTCAAATAAACCTTTTTTTTTTTTTTTTCAACATGCTTCAGATAAACCTTTAAGCATAAATCTATATAAACACTCAAACTGGGGAAGTTCACACACCTTGATGTAACACAATGATATACATAAGAAATAAAACAAACACACTTCTCTCGAGTAGTAAGCTAAATGATTCCGCAAAGCAGGCTTAACAAAAAGCTAGAATAACAATTTAGGAATCAAATAATACAGGTTCTGAGAATGGTTAAGAAGAAAAGCAAAACTTGGAAGCCTCAGCTACAAGTTTCTCAATTAACTTAAGGCAATGGGCCTAAGGTTTCAGCCTTTCAGGAATTGGTGGACGCAGGGAGTGTTCAAGGGACCAGAAACTGAAACTGCCATAGATAGAACATGGAATCAACGAGAACAAAGAGACCCCCTTGTGTTAAACAAGAAGCGGACAACATCGACTTACAAAACCACCATCAAAAGTAGCCTTACGAGTGTCTCATGCTAACATATAAAAGATCAGTTGAGCACGGTTCATACAACTCATTCATAAACAAGATTGGAATCACTCAAGTTCCTTCATCTTTCAAGACTCAATATTTGATTAACTTCTTTAAGGACCATTCTGTAATTAGATTAACCTAGTAGTCTACTTCAATCATTCTGTATAATTAGGAAGACAATGTAAAGAATATTATACCTTGCATTCATATCTCATTAAGAGTTTTGTTCCAACCATACTGATTTCAGAAACTACAGTATACATATACATAATCATTATTGTTTATACATATATAAAGAGTCAATTATACTAGGACTTATATCAGCCTTACGAGTTATGACCCATAAACCCACTTTTAGGGACATTTTTCCTCAAATTTTTTAAGATAAAAAATTCCAAACAATCTTAAAGAGGAACAAGAAAATCATAAAGAGCTTGAAAATCAAAATGTAAAGTCTCAAGTTATGAAGACTTTGAAGTTTGAACCCACTTAGCTTGGACATCCTCTACAAAGTCTAAACTGGTCAGAACGGAAGTTGGATGATGTTTAAGCTCTTCAAATCCATGAAAATGGATTCTTGTAGCAGTACTGCTCTCGATATTGTAGAAGAAAAGGTAGAAAGGGTAGCAGCACGTGTGCGGCGAAAAGACAATCTCTCCAGTACCGGTCATCCCAACAAATTTGTGGGGGTAGACAATGGATGGTAGTATGCATATACGTTGTTTGGACCATATATGTTCTCCAGCAGCATCTTCTTCTAGAACCCACAAGATAGATTTTCTTTCACCCATCAACTTTTGATGTACACCTAATTTACCTTTGTAGTTGAACAAAGTTAACATCAAAGGTTTCATGTCTTTATCATATTTAATAAAGCCGAATTTCTCAAGCCTAAAGTCGAAGCAACCTATCTTAAAATAGCCACCTAGAATATAGGTATTGTAATACAAAATACCATTTATGCATATTCCAAGATCACCCGTGAAAACATAGCAATTTCTTGAGTCTTGGATCGTCCTCCATAGATGACGTCCTTTTCCTGTCTCCATTAATGTCAAAATCCGATGAGTATCGGGTGTTCCATAACGTGACCGAGTCATACACAACACTTTGAACTGTTTGCTGATGGGATCAAAGCCAAGATAGCTTATTTTAATACCTGTCGCTTTCACTTTGGGTAAGGTTATGGACTCCCCCGTAACCGGGTTAAAAACCACCCGCCCTGTTTTCCCTCTCTGGAGAAAGACCAGTCTACGGTGTGAGGTACATCTATCAGTTGGGAAATATTTTGGAAAACACTTATAAGGGGTGGCTACAAGAGTAGAGTTTTCACGTGGATTTTGAGGTTGAGGCGAAGAGAAAACAAATAACTCTTCGTTAGCTTTGAAGGTGAACAAGAGCCGTGGACGAGCTAACGACTGAGTCAGGAAAAGCTCCTTAAAATGAGGATGGCCAAGTATGGATTCCCATAATTTGGATACGCAACGAAACCTATCTATAGACTTTGCAGAGACTCTAGACAAGATATCAATAACAAGGTCAACTGGCAGATGACTTTCCATGGCAGAAGATGTTTCAGTAATTCCCAATTAATCAAGAAATCTCAGTCTATCATAGGATTCGAAGAACGAGAAAGATCACCTCCTCCGATCCTCTCTGTGTTCGTGTGATGAAGGTTACACTTACGGTGAAGAATAAATATGAATGTTCTTGATTGATTAGTTGAAAACCCTAAATTGCTCAACCGGTTAACAAGACATTAAACCGGGAGACGAAATCAAATTGCATAAAACATACCAAGACGGAAGTGTGATTTGGTTCTTCATCAATTACATTACACACGACTGACCTTTCTAATAAGAAGAAGAAACAGCAGAAGCTATTACAACAACACACTTTGGTTAGATGACATAATCAGACACATGCGATGTCTGGTCCATGGTCAAACCAGGTACCTTATCAAGTTTTCTCGGATTCTCTTTCCCACCAATCAGTCTCGCCGGGTTCCCAACGGCCGTCGTACGCGGCGGCACGTCCTTAACCACCACCGACCCTGATCCTATCTTAGCCCCCTCTCCGATCGTAATATTCCCCAATATACAAGTCCCAGCTCCGATCAGTACTCCGTCGCCGATCTTCGGGTGCCGATCACCGCTCTGTTTCCCTGTTCCGCCCAACGTCACGCCGTGTAGAATCGAAACGTTGTCACCAACCACCGCCGTCTCTCCGATCACAACGCCCGTCGCGTGGTCTAACAGAATCCCTTTTCCGATCTCGGCTCCGGGGTGAACATCGACGGCGAAAGCTTCGGATACTCTGTTCTGGACCAATAAAGCAACGATTTTTCTCCTCTGTTTCCAGAGCGCGTGAGCTATGCGATGAGCTTGACAAGCGAGGAAGCCTTTGAAACCCAAGAAGCAGTGAACGTAGCTGATGCAAGCCGGGTCTCTTTCTCTAACTGCAATCAGATCTTGCTTCGTCGATTCGATGATCTCAGGGCTTTCCTCTAAAACGCTGATGAAGAGTTCGAAGAGAGTGTTGCTCGGGAGGTTCGAACTACAGAGCTTTACGGAGAGGACGTGAGCTAAAGCAGAATCTAATGATGGATGAGATGTGATGGAAGCGTAGTAGTAGTCTGACAAAATGGGTTCTTGCTCCACATCGGATTTGGCTTCTTCAAGCATCTT